GTGGCTTCCGTAGGAGCCCATTCTCTAGCACCAGCACATGGGCCACCAGGGCCAGCAAGACCACTGCAGGGGGTTCAGAAAGACGACTGTCAGCGGCTCCCATAGTAGCCCCAGGCCTCACGCCACTCCATTCATACCCCGTCTGGCCTGGCTGTTCAGCTCTGCAGAGGCCGCTGGCCTTCCCCTTGGAGGAATCAATAAGGTAGAACTAGCTCTTGCTGCAACTGCTGGCTCCAGCAGTCACAGTGAGGGGGGCTCACGGTGCCTGGGGCAGGGTGGTGTGTTCCGGGCCTGAGTCCCCACTTGCTGTTGCCACAGCTGTTGTTGCTGGAATTTGTAAAAACTCACATCTGAGGTTGTATCCTTTCCATACCCTGACCAGCTCCCCCCATTTACACAGAACTTGACAGAACTCTGTAGTCAGACTCCAGGTCTCCTGACCCCCATCCACAGGTCTTTGCTCTCCACCACAGAACCCCCCTCAAGAGGCCTCATAAGGGCTTAAGGGGTCAGCCAGGTTGGACCTGCACCTCGCCAGCTCACCCGGGTGAACCCTTGCCCCCGCGGGCCTGTTTCCTTATCTGTAAGATGAAGTTACTGTAACTGACTTTACAGGGCTCTTCCCTGCCATGTTGATAACACATAAAATAGGACTTCTGCACTTTGAGGGAGAGAGGACTGGAAAGGAAGAGGCTTCTTTGGAGAGTAACTGATTCCTGGGTGGGGAGTATCTCCTTTCTGGTCCAGTTCCAAAAACGAGAGGAATATGTCTCCCCACATACCCACATCAGGGAAGGAGGCCCTGAAACCAGAGGGCTGGAACTTCCTCCAGGTAGCCCCTACCCCCAACGGGTCACCTACCCTCCCCCAAACCACCCCCACGAGCTAGGTACCTGTCTTCAGCAACATTGCTCTGGACTCAGCGTCTCGGAACCTGACCAGATCTGCTCTGCTTTTACCAGCTTTATATGTTGGACTTCGGAAGCTAAGAAACGTTAGAAAAGCACTGGGGTCACTACTGCCTCGCTAGCTCTGCCGCCCTCAGCCTTGGGCGTGGATCCCCCACTCCGTCCCGAAGTCGCCCTCATTGCCCAACACCCCCGGCCCCCCGCCATCACTTCCCCGAGCTTGGGGATGCCTCAGAAATACTAACCAAGGCGTGTCAGACGATAGACCCCACCCTCTCTGTAGTGCTGGGAACCCCGAGCGCCCACGGGCGGCCCTCCGCCGGGCCGGGGCCACAAAAAGACAGCGATCCCCTCTGGGACGCCCGGGAAGAACCGAGGCGTCGGGCTGGGACCAGGCTTCGGACTCCCACCGGGTCTGGGGTACCCCCCGCCCCCAAGGACCGCAGCCCAGCAGCCCCAGAGCGGGGACCCTCCCCCAGAGTGCCCCGCTCACGGAACTCACCCCGCAGACGACCCCGGAACGCCGGCCGCTTCTGCCTCTCCCGCAGCCAACTGCTGCTGTAACCCGATTTGCCTGCTGCGTTCCAGAGGGGGCGGAGCCTAGCGGCGGCACGCCTTCCCCGGCGGAACCTATCAGAATCCCCCTAGCAACGTCGCGTCCCGCCCGCTGTGAGCCCAATAAGCCCTCCCCCGAGCCTCCCCCGAGCCTCCCCAAGCCCCGCCCCCCTCGAGCTCGGGCTCTGAGCCCATCCCCGCAGACGCCCGCGGTGAAGGACTGGCTGACCTGGCTACCTCGGCTCCCGCAGAAGGTAGTCGTTTCACCTCTGCGGGGTCCTGAAGGCGAGCATAGTGCCCGGCGCAGTGTACACGTTTAATAAATAGTATGGCGTGAATATCTGCGTTATTAAAAGGAAGTGAGGGCGCCTGGGTGGCTCAGTTGGTTAAGCGACTGCCTTCAGCTCAGGTCATGATCTTGGAGTCCCGGGATCGAGTCCCGCATCGGGCTCCCAGCTCCATGGGGAGTCTGTGTCTCCCTCTGACCTCCTTGCTCATGTTGTCTCTCACTGTCTCTCTCTCAAAAAAATAAATAAAATCTTTAAAAAAAAATAAAATAAAAGGAAGTGAGGAGATGCCATGAAGCACGACCCAAAGTAAGCCACTCAAAAACGGTAGTCGAAGATGAAAAGGCATTTACGAGAAAGATGGGTGGGGGAAAGCAAATCAGGTGTAGGGCACTTTTTTGCAAAGCCAGGAGGCTCTCCTCCCCTACCTGACACTCCGGGCCAGCCACCGGTTGTACTGACCCAGGCATGCATTCTGCATATTTCTTCTCTTTCATTCATCAAATATTTACTGAGCGACTACTAGGTAGGTGCCAAACACTTTATTCTCGGCACCTTCACTTGGATGGTCACTGGGCATCTCAAACATAACCAGCCCCAAACCGAACACCCCAAACGGAACATTTCTCCGGTAATGGCAACTCTCCTTCCATATGCTCAAGCCAAAACCTTTGCCACCCCTCTCCCTCACTCCCCATATCCAGTCTTTTGGCAAACCCTGTTGCCCTCTGCCTTCCAAACCCACCTCTCATTACTCTCCCGGCAACCATCACATCTTGCCTGGATCATTAGTTGCAGCATCCTCGTCAACCCGTCGGCTTCCACCTGCACTCACTCTGTCCACAGCAGCCAGAGTACTCCCACAAAACACGAGCTCAGTCGGGGCACCCGAGCGGCTCAGTAGGTTAAAGCCTCCCACTCTTGACTTCCGCTCAGGTCATGATCTGAGAGCTGTGAGATAGAGCCCAGGGTTGGCCTCCTGCTGAGTCTGCTTGAGATTCTCTCCTTCTCCCTCTGCTTGCTTGAGTGCTCTCTCTCTCTCTAAAAAAATAAATAGAAAATAAAATATAACACAGATCATGCTTTGCTCCACCCTGTGATGGCCGTTCATCCCAGTCTAGAGACTCACAGATTTACAAAGCCCCACCCACACGTTCTGACCCACTCTCCCACTGCTCTCCCCCTCCTCCCTGACTCCTGGCCACACCGTCCTCCTTACAGTTCCTCAAACACACAACAGGTCTCCGAGTCCTTGCACTAGCTGTTCCCCCTGCCTGGAACGCTCTTCTTCCAGATTTTGGCATGACTGGCTCCTTAATTCCCTTCCAGTGTATCTCAAAGGCCACCTTCTCAATGAGGCCTACCTTGACCTTCCCATTTGAAATTGTGATCTCTACTTTAGCAGCTCCCAAGTTCCCTGGCCCTCCTATATTTTTCGTACCCCGTATTCCCGTCTAACACATTTATTATGGTTTCTATTATTAAATGAATTAAATTTAGTAGAAGAGACAGATAACAAGAAACGAAAGCGTGAATACAGAGGAGTTTCTATCGTGGCTCCGACAATACAACTCAGGGATGTGATAAGAGACTTGAGGGTGGGATACTTTCCATCGCCTGGTCAGGGAAGGGACATCTGAGCAGAGACCTAATTGATGTGAAGGAGCCCTGAGACGTTAGAGACGAGGGGTAGGGACAAGAAGAACATACTCTAGGCTGCAGGAAAGTGTAAAGGCTAGAGCTCCGAGCCCGGAACCACCAAGTTCATGGGCAGATACGCCGACCTCGCTGGCTTCCAGCCTCTGGTGTGTGGCTGAGCGCTCCTGAGACCTTCACTACAGTCCACCAAGAGACCGACCGCAGGCAGAGCCTGGGGGCCGCGGGTGGGCGGCAGGCCGCTGGCAGTGACGGAAGCAGAAATGGATGAGCCCCAGAAACAGAGATTCGAGAATTTCAGGGGCCGGGTGGAGTCGCCAGGAAGCTCGCCCGGACCTCGCGGGCTGCATAGGAGCCCGCCCAGAGGAGGCGCCGGGCCGAAGCCGTCCCAGGCTTGGCTCTGTGGGGAAAGTGGGCCGGGCGGGATGAGGGGGCTGGAGATGGGGAGAGAAGGGCTCCGAGTTCTGCCGGCAGTGGGCTGGGTCCGAGGCCCGCGGACTGCCTGCGGTGGGGCTCTGGGTTCGAGGTCGCCCGCCGCTGACCAGCTCTGTCCGGGGCTCTGGGGCCTCAGTTCCCCCCCACCCCCGCGTGGATCAGGGGCGGCTTCGCGGACCGCCCGGTGAGCCGCGGGAGGGGAGGGGCGCGGGGGGTAACTCGAGCCGCCCGGAAGGGGTCTCCCGGCGCCCGCAGCCACGTTCCGGTCCTGGCGGAGGCGCGGGGTCCGGAGCCGGGGTCGCCCCGAGCCGCGGACGCAGCCCACCCCGCGGGACGCCCTCCCGAGCGGCGTCGCGCCCGGCGGCGCGGAGGTGAGCGGGCCCGGCGGGCTCTGGAGGCGGCGGCCCCGGGAAGGCGTGGGCCGCGGAGACGTGGCGGGGCAGCCCCACTGCGCGGACCGGGAGACTGAGGCGGCCGCCGCGGCTCTGCGGCGCTCGGCCGGGGCCTCCCGCGGGGGCCACCGCGGTTTTCGGGCGGTGGCGGGTCCGGGGCAACCCGGTGGCCCCAGGCCGCTGGGTCCCAGGCCCCAGCCCGCCCAGCTCCCCTAACAAAAAGAATCAGGAGACACGGGTGTACCGGCCCCTCGCGGGCTGTACGGTCCGCGTCCCGCACCCAGGCTCGCGGCGGGAGCCGGAGCACTGCCCCGCGGGCCCCGGGGTCCCCTTTCCGCGCCCCGGTGCCGTGCCGGGAAGACCTCAGTGAGCCCCCGCCTCCCGCGACCCGCCACTGGCATGGCCCCGCCCCCGAAGGCCCGGCCTGTTTCTCTCCCCAAGCCTTATCGGGACTGGTCCTTAACGTGACTTCTTACTTACTTCATTTTCCCATTCATTTATTATTTATCTTTGTTTACAATGTCTCCCCGCTGGAATGCAGGCTCCAGGAGGGACGGATTGCTTTGTCCACTGCTGTCTTCTTGGTTATTTCAGTACTTTCGGAAGTCCTCATCTTGATGGGCTTTTTATGGGAGGCTACGCGGGCAGCCAAGCCGAGTCCCGCCCAGGCGAGTCAGTCCTGCGCTAGACCTTCTGGGGCTGGGGAGACTGCGATAAACAAGGAGATCATTGTGGGGGGAAGGAAAAGAAAGCAGAAGTTGGGGGCTACTGGTTGGGTCAGCTTGTGCTCAGGAGCACTTTAGAAACAGTGATCAGGGCAGGCCTCACAGATCAGGTGACCTCAGCCTGCAGATAAACCCTGAGACTGCTAAAAGGGCAAAGCAGGAAGCTGAGGACACTTAACTCTGACCTTGACTTTGGGTGTAGGGGACTGAGCTCTGCAAAGTGATGGTTAGTTGCTCTCAGGTGCCTGGTCTGGGTGGGTGGGAAGGTAGGGAGATTATCAGCGGTCAGGGGAGGCTTCCTGGAGGAGGCGGTGGTTTTACTGGGCCTCTAAGACTGAGTAGGAGTTCTCATCCTTTAGGATGCTGTGATGGGGTTTGACAATTGTTTTGCAGGTGCCCTAGGAACAACATAGTCAAAGGGTTAAGCCGAGAGGCTGGACGCGAGGCCCCCGCCCTCTTGCTGTGAGCTCTGCTGGTAAGTGGGTCCCTGCGGAGACTCGCCCCTGGAAGGCATGAGGGAATCAGGAGACCAAGCTCTGCTTCTCACTGGTCATGCGGGCTTGGGCAGTTCATCTTCGCTGCTCTGGGCATCCGTTTTTCATGAGTCAGGAGGACAGCTGGATTGGGTGCCCCTTAGGATCCGTGGCATTCAGGAGGGATTGGGCTGGGGTTGGGGTTGGGGTTGGTCCTACCCAGCCACACCCTGGCATTCAGGAGGGATTGGGCTGGGGTTGGGGTTGGGGTTGGTCCTACCCAGCCACACCCTGTGTTTGTGCCACACTCATATACTGAGCAGGTCCCCATGTAAGCCTCCCCCAAACCCCCACCCCTGCCCGTGGAGGAATGGGGCCTGGCTTGCCCTACCCTGCCTTCATCTGGCCCCGAAGGCCACGGATTCTTAACTAAAGGATAACTGCCATTGACCAAGGAGAGGCTGGCAGGGGCCCAGGAGGGTCACAGAAACCTTGGAGGTTTGGCTTCAGGGTTGGAGCTAAGGGACCCCTGGATTAAGGGATGGTTCAAGCATTGATTTCTATGGGTTCAGGGTCCATTTCAGCTCAGCTGATGCTTTTTTCTTTGGAGTTTAAAAAGCTGTTTCAAACCCCTCCCTAGCTCCCGGTCTGGGAGTCACATTACCCTTCTGAGTCCTCTGCTGTCCAGTTCGTTTGCATGCCCCTCACAACCACCCTTTGCGAGAAAAGGCGGGGACACAAGCCCATTTCACAGATGGGGACCCTGAGAGCCTCAGGGTATACAGCAAGTGAGTAGAGGCCACAGGGCAGGGGCCCAGGGGTCCTCCAGAGCCAGCGTGCTTTTCCCAGCAGGGGCAGAGAGGCTGCCTTCCGCTCTGACCTGTGGCCACCCATCTCCCCTCACAGTTCTTATGGGAGCCATGAAGCTGAATGAGAGGAGCGTGGCCCACTACGCGTTGAGCGACTCCCCGGCCGACCATACGGGCTTTCTGCGCACCTGGGGCGGGCCAGGGACTGCACCGACCCCCAGTGGCACCGGCCGGAGGTGCTGGTTTGTCCTCAAAGGCAACCTGCTGTTCTCCTTTGAGAGTCGTGAGAGCCGGGCCCCGCTGAGCCTGGTGGTGCTAGAGGGCTGCACGGTGGAGCTGGCTGAGGCTCCCGTGTCCGAGGAGTTCGCCTTCGCCATCTGCTTCGACGCCCCTGGTGTGCGCCCACACCTGCTGGCGGCCGATGGGCCCGCGGCGCAGGAGGCCTGGGTGAAGGCCCTGTCCAGGGCCAGCTTTAGCTACATGCGCCTGGTGGTGCGCGAGCTGGAGAGCCAGCTGCGCGAGGCCCGCCACAGCCTGGCCTTGCATCGCCACTCATCCTGGAAGGCCACTGGCAGCCACCGTAAGCCCCAGGCCGCTGACCGCCGGTCTCCAGGCCTGGAAAACGGTTACTCCCCCTCCAAGGATTGCAGCTCCGTGGACTTGGTTGAAGAAAGGGGCAGCAAGCCAGCGGGGCCGGGCTTGGCCGAGTGGCAGGGCCCGGCCAGCCTCTACCTGGACGGGAGGCAGAGCCCCGCATTCCCTGAGACCTCCTACTTTTCTACCCTGCACAACTGGTACGGCCAGGAGATCATGGAGCTGAGGCAGAGGTGGCTGCGGAGGGTCTGGGGGAGCGGGCCAGCTCGGGAGAAACAGGATGGGCCCTGAGCCTCAGCCCTTGGGGGTTCTGCCTTTATCCTGCTGGTCAGGATTCAGTGTTTATTCGGTTTCAAGTTGCTTTTTTTTGAGAGGGTTCTTTCCTTCCTGCTTTTTAGTCCTTCTCCAGGTTCCAGATCCACCCTCGTGCCTGGACGGGACTGAGGAATCCTTCCTTCCAGCACCTTTATTTCCTGAGGCCCAGAGAGGAAGGGGGCTTGCTTGGTAGCCATGGAGCCTGACCAAGTCTCCTGCCGCTCTGCTGGACTGCCGCTCTGGCAGGGGACACTAGTCAAATGGTGGAAATGGGGAATATTATGTGGCCATAGAATGCTACCTACACACCAGACTCTACAACCACAACCTCCTACACAGGGAGCCTTGTGTACATTTAAATACCAGAGGCTGGCTCAAGTGTTGGCTTGGGGAGCTGACATGATCAGGGAAAGTAGGTTTATTGCCATAGGGGTTTCTGGGGCCGGTGCTTCCTGAGAGGTGGGGCACAGGACGGCTCCCCCTCTGCAGTTTGGGTGCGGCCCTTTGGAGGGAGAGGGCCTTCAGCCAGCAAAAGGGGATTGATTCTGCTCAGAAAGTGTCGGGGCCATCAGCTTCTCTCCCTGGCTGCCCTGTCTAGAGATGGTGCTGGTCATGGCCCCAGGAGGGACTGGTGGCAGAAATCCTTCCTGTGTTCTGCCCTGAGCAGCTGGCTCTGGGAGCTGCCAGGTGGGAAGCTAAAGGAGTGGGGAGGCACATGGGGCTCCCTGGGGAAGCCAGGCTGTTATTTTGGTTCTCAGTCCAAAATTCTAGAAGCTTGGACGCAGGATTCCCAGCAAGCACCCTGTGATAAACTCTTTCCTCCTAACTGTGCTAAGAGCCACTCCCGATCCCGAACCTGGCCTGGGAACTCATTGACACTCCCGCTGGTCAGCCAGTGCGCATCTGCCAAGACCCTGTCTTTGCTACTCTCAGCAGCTCGGTGCCAAGTGTTTTCTCCATTGTTGAGGGAGGCAAAGTGACTGAGTGGAGAGAGCCAGCAGCCAGACCCGCCTGAGCCCCAGGGTGTGGTCGCAGCGGCTGGATGGGAGATCCCGAGGCGGTCAAGACATCCCCCCCTCTGCCTGCGCGCAATCAGCCCCTTCTTAGCCTCTCGAGCCCTTACTAGGGCCTTGGGTACACTGCCCGGGGCCCCAGTAGGTCTAGGGGCTTCTGCTCAGCCCAAGACCAGGACGCCGGGAGGCCACCAGGGTCCGGAACCCGTTCCTGCGGGCTTGTTCCCAGAAGAGGGGCTGGAGGAGCCCCCGGCCCACGGCGCCTTGTTTTATACACAGACACTACAGGCTTTTGTTATCGTTCTTACGGTCACAGTGTTTTTTATCGAGTAAAACACTAGTTTTTATTACTCACTTCGGTTCCTCGAGTTTATTTCAACAGTCACTTGCCCAGGTCGTGCGAAAGCTCGCACTTCCCCTTCCGATGTGTTTCCACCTGCCTCTCTGTAGCGTGCACCTTGGCAAGAAACAGAATTCCAGAATCATCCGGGGAGTACAACTAAGGGGTATGAATCGTGTTTTTTAAATGTTAAAAAGGAAAATACGACTGAGGGTCGATGAAAGTGACTTCCCTTCCCAACCGTCACCTGCTCTGCCCAGGCCCGGCGCGGCAGAGTGAGCGAACAACGGCGGAAGAGAAAATGTTCCACCACGACCGCTCGCAGGACGAGCCGGCCCGCCAGGTCCGGAACTAGGCGGCTACGGGGCGTTGGCCCCTCCTCGTGACGTCACCACGTCGGGCGCGTGACAAACGTCTCTTTCGCACGGCAACAGGAACTAGGCTGGGTCTCGCGTCTGATCCCAAAAGCCTCGCGAGGGTTGGGGCGGTGCTCTCCCGGAGGGCGTCACAGCGGCCGGGCGTGGGGTCCGGGTGCCGGGCTAGCGGCGGAGCTGGGAGATGGCGTCCGGAGGGGTTCGCTGGCTGGCATTGGCATCCTTGCGATCCGGAGCTTTCCGGAGCGGGCCGAGCTTGAGGAAAGATGGTGGTGATGTCTCCGCCGGAGGAGGTGGCGCAGGTCGGAGCCTGGTACCGTCGAGGTCAGTCATCGTTACTCGCAGCGGCGCCATTTTGCCCAAACCGGTGAAAGTGAGTGTCTGCCTGGAGGCGGGGCGAAGGGGCCGCGGCCAATCATTATGGGGAGTGTGCGCGGGTCGACGCTGACTGATAGGAGCAAAGGCCAATCATACGACCGCCTTAGACCGGAAGACGGATCGAGGACAAAGTTTAGCGGTGATGCGCTAATTTTGACAGGTGGGAGGAAATGGGTCAGATCCCGGTGTTGAGTTGGGCGCACCGAGACAGAGGATGGGGAGCGAGAGCTGAGAAGGACTGCACCCTGCACTAGCTCGTCGTGGTGAGCTAGCAGGGAGCCTGGTGCCCTAGTTCTCCAGGCCACAAGACTCGGCTGTGTGTGTCCGGTGTAGACAAGTCACGTAACCACTCCGTTCTTGTCCACCTCGCAGTTGATGGGATGGAATAAAGAGTTGTGAAAGGGCTTTTAGATAAAGGGTACGTGGGACAGAACTTCTGTTTTTATAAGTTTTGACTTAGTACTTAATTCACGTGATTTGCTGTTCTGAGAGGTGGGCAGGGAGTTATTACGATCACTGTTTCCACGAATGAAGTCGGGCCAAAGCAGTGAAGCCCTGAGGCTCCAAAGCTAGCAGCGAGTTGGGTCCCGGAATCCAGGTTTCTGGCTGGTACAACCCCACCCCCGAACCAGGTCCTGTTTTTCCCACCGCTGAATGCTGTCGTCTGCCCGAGTACTTTTTTTTTCTTCTAAGTAAAATGGAGACAGCCCCTTACATCAAACAAATTTGCTTTTTGACTCCAGGGTGGTGTGGGAGTTAGAAAACAGAAATTCTCCTACAGTTAGTATGGCCAGTACTAGCTTGCACAGACAGGTGAGTTCAGGACTGTTTTGTGGCAGGAAGCAGGGTCCATATTGGGGAAGAGCTGCCTTATAAAAAGGCACAGCTGGAAAAAAACCTGAAACTCCATAAGAAAATATGAGAGGATATGTTGAAATTCCACGGAAACTCCCCTAGTCCATCTACACAGCTAGTCTTTTATGGTAAAGACATGCTCATTTTTCAAAACATGGTTGTTTTTGAGATTTAATGTGAAATTAAACTGGGGAATCTGTTAAAGAACTGTACAAAGTATCCTTCCACTGTACATGCACGACTAATTTTTAGATGTCTAGAATGAATGCCTTGTACTTTTCTTTCTGGTAGCCACATTGATGGCCATAAAATAACCTTCTCTCTTTTTCTTTTTTTCTTGTTCTGCATGTTTCCAAAATCAAGTAGTTGTGTATTATGGGTCTGGGGTTCACAGGAGTGTCCCTTAGGGGCCAAGCCTTCTGTGGCCCCACAGAGTGGGCTCTGGAGCTCACAGCCACCGCTCTGACCTTCTGCAGATGTCCTTCGGCCTTCTCCGTGTGTTCTCCATCGTGATCCCCTTTCTCTATGTGGGGACGCTCATTAGCAAGAACTTTGCTGCTCTACTTGAGGAGCACGACATTTTTGTCCCAGAGGATGACGACGACGATGACTAACAGGTAAGACTTCCTTTTCTCCTACGTGGACCAGGAACAGGAAGGGGGTGGGGCATCTGAACTCTGATGCAGTTTGCGCTGGTAGCAGTTTCTGGTCCCTTGAAGCAGAAGTGCAGACCTTTAATAAATTGATTGACTTCGCTGTTTTTATTTTGCCTTTGCTCTGTGTTGAGGAGATCTTACTGATTTAAAAATTCACTGGAATGGGGACGCCTGGGTGGCTCAGTTGGTTAAGCAGCTGCCTTCGGCTCGGGTCATGATCCCAGTGTCCTGGGATCGAGTCCCACATCGGGCTCCTTGCTCAGCAGGGAGCCTGCTTCTCCCTCTGCCTCTGCCTGCCATTCTGTCTGCCTGTGCTCGCTCTCTCTCCCTCTCTCTCTCTCTGACAAATAAATAAATAAAATCTTTAAAAAAAAAAAATTCACTGGAATGGGATAGGGCACCTGGATGGCTCAGTCGGTCAAGCATCTGCCTTAGGCTCCGGTCATGATCTCAGGGTCCCAGGACTGAGCCCTATGTTGGGCTCCTTGCTCAACGGGGAGTCTGCTTCTCCCTCTCCCTCTCCCCGCTGCTTGTGCTCTCTCTCAAATAAATAAGTAAAATCTTTAAAAAAGAAAATTAACTAGGATCTCCTCCAACTGGGTTGATCCCAACCAGTCTTTCTTTTATATACCTTTGTTCTCTCAACCCACAAGTTTCTTAACAATTTAATGCCTTCACATGCACCCCAAACAGCTTCATTCTCCGCATTGAAATTTAGAAACTGCAGGTCTTGACCGTGGTCAGCAAGGTTACCACACTCTCTGCCTGTTCCATTCAGCTCTCTGGTGTTGGCTCCCATGCTTGAATATGTGCTGCTTGGCTGCCCTTCTGTTGTAGCTAAGGACAGTTCTGGCTCCATAGTCTGAAAGTCAGTTGTGCCGTGACTTGGTCACACCTGTTAGTCAAGCCTCGTCTTCCATATTCCCAACCACTCACCTCTCCTCAATATTCACTGTTTCTTGAATTACCCACATGCTTTCCTGCTCCCAAGCAGAGGCTCACTCTTCCTTCCAGTTGGAAGGCTATTTCGCACTACTCTTTAAGATTTTTTTTTTTTTATTGAGAGAGACAGACAGACAGCACAAGGAGAAGGAGAAGCAAACTCCCTGCTGAGCAGGGAGCCTGATGCAGGGCTCAGTCCCAGGACCTGAAGATCATGACCCGAGCCAAAGACAGATGCCTAACCACTGAGCCACCCAGACACCCCTATTTCTTGAATTGAACCAATTCTTCATTGTCGTTGATGAAGTCTTCCCTCATTACTCCATTTGAAAGTGACTGCTGTGAGGCGCCTGGGTGGCTCAGTGTGTTAAAGCCTCTGCCTTTGGCTCAGGTCATGACCCTAGGGTCCTGAGATCGAGCCCCACATCAGGCTCTCTGCTCAGCGGGGAGCCTGCTTCCTCCTCTCTCTGCCTGCCTCTCTGCCTACTTGTGATCTCTGTCTGTCAAATAAATAAAATCTTAAAGAAAAATGTCTTCAAAAAAAAAAAAAAGGGAGGAACTCCTGTGCCCTCTGACTGACCAGTATGTCTTATGACAGTATTACATGCTTAAGCACACAGGCACACCCCCAAATTCTACTAGACTAAGAGTTTCTTGCTGGCAAGGAACACTTTTTTTTTAAGTAAGCTCTACACCCAGTGTCGGGCCCGAACTCACGATCCCAAGATCAAGAGTACACCTTCCACCAACTGAGCCAGCCAAATGCTCCTGGAAGTGTGTTTTTTATACCTATGGGTCCCCAGTACCTGGTCTCTGATGAATGTTCATTAAATATGTGAGTGAAGAAACAAACTGTCTTGCTCTGCCTTGTTTGGTAGAGCCTCTCTGGAATGCTTTTCGGTGTGCGGCCAGAAGGCTGCTCTGCGCCCGGTTCACTGCTGCTTTGCTTTTTTACAGGACATGGAGGAAGTCCAGAAAGGAGACAGCCCTGACTTAATTATGATGTGGTGATGCTCACAGCCTCTCCTCCTGCCCTGTCCGAAGGGCGCAGGGAAAGCCCTCAGCCTCCCAACTCCAGTGAAGCCTCCTGCATCATCTGTGACCGCAGCCCAGATCCCCAGGCCCTGGGACATTTCCACACATGTGCTGTCCACTGAGCACAATCAGCTTATGAATAAACACGTTAAACATCAGCTCGGTATGACTGAGTGGTGGCTGAACTGTCCCTGCATGAGTGACCCCCAGCTGCAGTTTCTTGTCCCCGCAATCCTTTCTCTGGCAGCTGGATGGTAACAGGCCTATGATTTACAGCACGAGATTTCCAGGCCCCCCACCCCGCCCCCGGATCCACAAAGGTCATTACAGGCAACCGGGCCCATTTTCACTATGTACAAAAGCCGAACAGAAACTCTGCCCTCAGTAAAGGTGCACAGGATAACTAAAGCCTTGAGCTTTTTCGCGTTGAGGAACGCTGGCGAGTTGTCATGTCACAGGCCAGTCATAAGCTGTGACCGTTTACAACTCTTTGAGAAACATCGTTATTAGAATGAATCTTTCAACACTTGGCTTCCTTACATGAAAAGATAGTAAAGGGGTTGGTGGTGCAGAAGAATCTGGGAACACTCAGGGTGACTACCTGCCGAAGCCCTCTCTCCAGCACTTAGTCTGGCCGGGGAAGAAGCATCGAGAGCAGAGATGAGTTCTTTAACGTGTGTTGACATTTATTCTGTCACTGGAGCTGTAACCCAGTTTGGAAGAACAGTAGAAATTTTCTGCTCCGTGTGCACCGAACAGTGTTCCTAGCCGAGGGCCCGATGGGGTAGGAAGTCAATTTCACTCTCAGGACGGCCGCTTGTTGCACGGAGACCGGCGAGGCCTCGGCAGAACCCAGGGGAGAACAGCCCGGCTTGGGTGCCTGACTTCTGCACCTCCTAGTTTTGCTCTGATCTCTCTCCCGACAGCAAAAGCTGGCTCATTCTGGATAACCTGCGCCGCGACACCGAGCAATCCTAGGGGCTGTAGAAACATGGCTAGTTGGGGGCACCTGGGTGGCTCAGCTGGTTCAGCATCCGACTCTTGATTTCCGCCCAGGCTGTGATCTCGGTCTTGAGATTGAGCCCCGAGTGGGACTCCGTGCGGGGCATCCCTCTCCCTCTGAGCCCCCACCCCCACCCCCTTAACGAAGTCATCCAGCCTGACAGCCAGGAGGCTAGTTTCTGAGCAGATGGCCTCATCCTTCCTGTTTACGGACATGCGAGGCTCTGAGAAAAGAGAATCTAATTTGGAGGAAACACCACACTTCAGGAAAGGGAACAGGTGGTGTGTACACGAAGACCCCACTGGTTCCGGCAAAAAGGCAGACAGCCTGCAGGAGAGGGACCCCCCACTGGCCCACCAGTGGAATTCTATTAGGAAGTGACCATCACATACTCAGTTTATTTGCGCTCTAAAATATTTAAATATCAACATGCACCCTTCCCCTGAGTGACTTCACGGGTCGTGGCCAACATAGAACTTGGACAGGAAATCCTTTGGCCTCGGCGCTTCTGTTTCATGGAAGAACCGCATGATGTGTGTCCGCTGCTTCCACACGTTGATCGTTTCCTCCAGTTCCATCTTGCCCTGCACACGTGGGGGAGAGGAGTTCGGTTAGAGCGGCTGAGGGGAAGGAACGCCATGCGGAAGGCCAGGATTCTGTTCTCTGCTCTGGCACAGACTTACTGAGTCACCTTGGGCAAGGAACATCCTCTGTCAGGACCAGTTTCCGCATCTAGAAAATGAGGTGGTTGGGCTAACTGACCTCTGCGGCCTTTCAAATACTCTGTAGCGAACTGATTCCAGGAGGGGCGACTTCCAGGTCAACAGGCCCCTGCCCCGACTGGCTGAATTTGGGTTTCTGCTAAGTACTCGTCCTGTGGTATGTACTGGTCCTTGCTAAAGTTCGCACTGATGACCAGAAAGGACACAATCAGGCCTGGGATTTGACCCCATTCACACAGGACTACGCTAACCTGCCTCTTCTAGCAGCAGCCTGGTGAAGCAGTAACTTCAGAAACGGGGTTTTAGGAAGAGTTTCAAACCTTCCTCTTTATGTCTTTTTCCAAAATACAAGCCCCAGAGCATCTGGGTGGCTGAGTCGGTTAAGCAGCTGCCTTCAGCTCAGGTCATGATCTCAGGGTCCTGGGATCAGGCCCTGTTTTGGGCTCCACACTCGTGGGGAGTCTGCTTCTTCCTCTCCCTCGGCCCCTCTCCCTGACTCGTGCTCTGTCTCTCAAATAATAAAATCTTTTTTTTTTTTAAAAAGAATTTATTTATTTATTTGACAGAAAGGCAGAAAGTAGGCAGAAAGGCAGGTAGAGAGAGAGGAGGAAGCAGGCTCCCTGCCAAGCAGAGAGCCCGATGCGGGACTGGATCCCAGGACCCTGAGATCATGACCCGAGCCGAAGGCAGAGGCTTAACCCACTGAAGCCACCCAGGCACCCCCACAAATAATAAAATCTTCAAAAAATAATGAATAAAAATAAAAATGCAAGCCCCGGTGGGATTTTTCTTGAGCAATCTTCTGTTTAATCAGGTGATAACCACCTCTAAGTTCATCTGTTTCTTTGAAACACTAAGCAAAAGCTACTGACCTGGTAGTTGCTTTTTAAACTTGGGAGACAAAACTGAGCAGCTCCGGACCAGCCAGCTGCTCTTAAGCCCGTCAGGGAAGGTCACTTACCTTAATGACCAGAAGATCTACCACCCTGGGGTCTGTGACGTGGGCATTCTTCATGAACATTTCTCGGACTTTATCCCGTCCTTGCTTCACAGTGATGTCGAGTTGGAACAAGTGCACTAGAGAGGAAACATGATTCAGGGAAGAAATTACATGGTGAAAACCTTTTTTACAAACACGGAGTCAGTGAACACATTCAGGCTGCCCATTCATTTCATCAGCAGACATCACTAGCCTGACCCTAAGCGAGGTGCCTGAGGCTGTAGAGGAGTGACACGTGCTCTCAAGGAGCTTAAAGTTTACTTGCGGAGACCGCCGCGTGGGAGGCGGCAGTAGAGCACAGCAGAGCACAGTTCAAGATCCCAGCTCAGGGGCGCCTGGGTGGCTCAGTGGGTTAAAGCCTCTGCCTTAGGCTCAGGTCAGGGTCCCAGGGTCCTGGGATCGAGCCCCATATCGGGCTCTCTGCTCAGTGGGGAGCCTGCTTCCTCCTCTCTCTGCCTGCCACTCTGCCTACTTGTGATCTCTGTCTGTCAAAAAAATAAAAAAAACTTAAAAAAAAAAAAAAAAAAAAAAGATCCCAGCTCAGTCCCAGCACCCGTGTGGTCCTGCGAACGTAAACTTCTGCGTGCCTGGGCGTATTTGTTTCTGAGGGAGAGGAGGATAATAGCACAGAGAACTGCAGAGCGGTTGGGAGGATTCCAGGAGATAAGATGCTTAGAAAGTGCCCCGCATGGAATAAGCTCTCAAAAAGGTTAGCTTTATTCTCAGAGAGAACAATCGGCAAAAGATGACGGGGGTGAAATTAACCAGCAGTGACGGGGTGTGGGTTTGCGCGGCACACGGCTCAGGGCGCGGGGAGCCTGCTGTGTGTGCAGGGACGACTTCGGTCCGGCCAGCAATTACTACCACATCAGGTTACTCGGGGGAAGGAGGGAGCAGTCTTCGAAGATAACTCCTACTCGTCTCTCAAATTTTGATCCGAGGGACAGCCATCTGTGAATGCAAACATAAAATCACCATACTCCGCATCCCTGGCTAAGTCAATGCCTCAAGGAGTGGCACAGCCTTAGGGACCCGAGACTTCAGCTGAGGCGCATTATGTCCTTTGAAAACTAGGTTTCGGTCATTTGACTTCTCACCCTCTGGCAGTCAGCCTTCGGTGGCTTTGCCGACGACGAGGGCACGGACAGCGCCTTGTGTGGTGGGCAGGACTAGGGAGAGGGGCACATTAAGCATAAATAAGGCTCAGAGGCTAGAATGAGCATGTGGTTGTGTGTTCATTTGGTGAGGACGCCTGGTGTTGTGGCCATTCCTGTGACGTGTCCACTCTCGTCTACAGAATCAGAACCAGCTCTGACCACCACGAGAGCTGTGGAGTGAGTGAATGAATCGACAATCAAGTTTCAGTCTTTAACTCAATTTAGAGCCAGCAACAGGAAAATAAAGCTTCTGCTGAGGTATTTATACCTTGCCTTGCTGATCCCAGCAGGGAAAAAGCACCTGCAGAAACCGCAGGCAGCTTTACAGGGAAGTGTTAACAGAGGACAGGAAATCACTCACTGGAAAGAACTCGGGATCCAGTGGCGTGCTGGAGAAGGCTCTTGGGGAGTCTCTCTTCCCAATCTGCCTTCACTGACTGTACTTTGGTAGCTTCAAATCAACCATGGCGGGAGTACCAGCTCCCAGAAAATTGGTAAATGCTATAAATCTGGGTTCCCACCAGTGTGTATTATAGTAGGAATTTTATTTTTTATTTTAGAAAGAGAGCAGGGGGAGGGGCAGAGGAAGAGGGGAAGCAGACTCCCCGCTGAGCAGGAAGCCCAGTACAGCTTGACTCCAGGAGGCTTGATCCCACAACCCGGAGACCATACCTAAGCGACCTGAGCCGAAACCAGGTGCCAAGTGCCTCTCATAGTAGAATTTTAGAGAAGAGCAAAGAGAGGGGCAGTAAAACAAAGAGACACAAAAACAAATGCAAACTAACAGGGATCCCGGAATTCAGAATCCTCCCATTTGGGGGTAGTGAGGCCTATGGCACCGTGGGTACTTGCCTGAAGTCATACGATTGGTCCCTGGCAAATGTGGGCCTGGAATCCAGGTTGTTTATTTTGATTTTACAATCTGGTGTTTTTTTAAAGGAAATGAGTATGAGGACTCTTCCCCTGCTATCAGTGTTTACCCTTCCTGCATTTTTATATTAGATCTCTGCCCAACCTCGGGAGCTTAAAAAAACAAGGTCCCTCTATACCAGGGGAGCTGGTGCCCATCGGCTCCCGTTCCTCATCATCTCCTGAACTCCACACCAGGACGTTGGGTGTGTAAGTCTTCCTCCTTAGGAAGATGTTCACAAGCACAAATGCAGTTTGGCTCACAACGTCAGTTCACAGGTCCCTGAATGCCCATCCTTCGCAGCTTAACAACCCTTGTCTCTGGAGAGAAATTCCATAGCTTTGTCCTGATCTCCCTCCTCCCATCCCAACCCTTTGACCACGGCCCTCCACCAGAGAAAGGCTGTGGGAAGGCAAACACCAACAGCCTAAGCGATGACCTGCCCAGTCATTCTGTGCTTTAACTCGGTGCTTGCTGCTTAAACCAGCAACGATCCTGCCCACCAGCACAGACGGCCATGTCCGGAGGCATTCTGGGTTGTCTCACTAGGGAAAGAGTTCTACTGGCACCTAGTGGGTAGAGACCAGGGATGTTGTTAAAAATCCTACAACGCAGGACCACCGCCACAACGATTATCCGGCACAAGTGTGCTGAGAGGCCCTGGTATAAATTAATTCCAACTGCTCTCCCTCAACTCAGCTTCTTGGCTTATTCTTTGAATTCTGAATATTGAAATTGCGGTTTTGAAAAAATCTAAAAGGACTAAGAAAGGTATCAAAGTGCCCCTCTTGGATGAAGGTGCCTTTTCCACAGCCTCTGTGTGTTTATCCAAAATTACTGTCAAGGTTTTCCTGAGTCAGGAAGGCTCTGACACATCAAGAGGGAGGACACTGATATCCTCAGCTGTCTGCACCGCTCACTTAGGAAGCATTCATACCAGGTACTTCGAGATCCTGAGATGGGAAGGCGGCACGGTGTGCTGGAGAAGAGCACGGGGTCAGGGGTCAAACCAGCTGGGTAGTCTCCCCACCATTATGAACTATGACCTTGACTTGAATACAACCTCCTCAGCCTGCTTCCTCAGCTAAAAAATAGGAAAGAAAAGAACCTCAGACCTAATTCCTTTATGGGAACATGGCAAAAATCGGTGACAATATCTTGTAAACAGCAAAGCTACTATAAATGTTAGTTGTTAAACATTTCAGCACTTGCTTCTATTTTACATCTTAAAATACATCTATTCTAAGTCTTAATGGCCTGGATATATGCCTGTCTTCCTGACTAGACCGGAAGGCCCCTGAGGGGAGGGCTATTTTATTCACTTTTATATCTCTGGGCATCCAGTAGCAGCCCTATTGTATAAGAGATCCCAGTGAAATGGAAATTAAATAGTTTCTACAGAAAACCTCCTGTTTTGTAACCAGCGAGCCTCAGTTAATACTTCTGCAGTAGAGGGGTCTGAAGGAAGGTAGTTCTGTCTCTGTGCTCCCATATAAGGGCACCACCAGCCAAGCAAAGGGCCGCTCACGTGTGCGGCGTAACTGAGTCCTGAGAGATTCAGGGAAAACTCAGCAGGAGCAAAGAGCCAGTGTCAAAGGTGGGTAGCCAGGGTCTGCAGTCTGGCTCCTCTCCTCACTAATAGTGTGATGAGAAGACACACTTAGGTGCCCCCATTTTCTTATCTGTAAGACAAGGAAACAATTAGAACCCACCCTCAAAAATAGGGCAATGTGAAGCATTTAGCACAGTGCTAGGCCATATGTATGCAAGTCAGTAAATGTTAGTTATTAGAAATACTATTACTTATTCCAATTCTTGGTTTGGTTCCTCAGCTGGAGTCCCAATCATGGATAGGCTAACACCAGTGTAGACACAGGCCTGAGCAACAAACCACCTACGGACCACCAGCTACAGACCACCAATCCTCCCCATAAAGGAGGTACCACCCCTGTGCCCCTCCCCACCTGCCCCCCAACCCTTTTCAGGACCCTTCCGACTCTGGAATAATCTTCTCAAACAGTATTTGAGGGGAATTCCTGAGAGGGGATAGTTTAAAAACTTCTGGACGCTGACTGTGGATAACTGGGTCTGTCCTCAACTCAGCCATCAATTTTTTTTTTTTTTTTTTAATCCATCACAAACGATTCTTCCTGCATCTGGGTCTTGTTCCCACCTCTTCTCTCTGCAACAAGAAAGGGTTCTAGGCACTCATAGGATTCTGCTAGGCAAACATTGTTTTCAAACATCTGCCATTGAATACATCCTCCCCCCCCCACACACACACACACGTGCAGACACTGGCTGCTCTCACTTCCCTGTACCTATTATTCACCTGCCCCCTGAAAGCATTTACATCTGCGGTTGGTCCCGAACCACCAGTTCACTTAAGTTTCTCCCTCCCTTGTATCCTGGGGTGTAAATTCCGTCATCAGCAACCTCTCAGAAAGTCAGGTTCAGGACAGGGACACTGCAGCAGACAGTTCTCACAAATGCTTTTTGCACAAATGCTCCTGCTGTAAGTAACAGTAATAATAATAATCGTAATAATAAAAACAACAGTAGCGGCCACCATTCAATGAGTACCTAAGTGACAGGGCTTCCCCTCAGCACTTTAAATATATTAGCTTTTTAATAAGGGCTACTCTCCGAAGAAGGTATCACCATGAGGCTCGTTTTACAGATGAGGAAACTGAGGCACAGCAAGATGAAATAATTTGCTCAAGGTCACACAGCTAGTAAGGAGCAAGGTCTGGGGGCAAGTCTGTGTAACTACCAGCCTCTATTGCTTCTCTCACACAGGTAGGGAAGGGACAGCCCAGAGGGGAACTCACTTACGAACACCTTCCCTCTCAGACCAGCAGTGACGGTCCACACTAAAACACACTCCATCAATCAACAAAACAACAAGATATCGACAGCCCTTGACGTTCCTACCGTCCTTGACAGTTTATTTCCCCCGATCTTTTCTCATCAGGGACATTGGGCAGTGCCGAGGGGGAACGCCGAGATAAGAAAACAGAATGTCTGCATCCGGAGACTTCGTATTTCAATCCTTCCAGTGAACAGACTGGTTCTGGGGCATCTAAGTGAAGGCAGGGGACAGAGAGGCAGCAGGGGGCAGGTCCTGGGGGGGAGGGGAAGGAGTTCCTAAGAAATGCTAGAGGCAGGCAGAGCTAGGGAGCAAGCTCGGGAAACTGTGGGAAGCCACCTCACTTGGACTGGAAAAGGCACCACTGACTTAACTGGATAACCTTGGGAAAGTCACTTCCCTTCTCTGGTGGTCTGTTTTTCCGGGGGGGGAGGGTTGTGCGGGAGACAGATGACCACTAACCCTAATGGGCACCTGTAAATACATTCAGCAACTCTACGGCTGACTTTGGGTTCCAGATCCACCAAGGCTGGCTCTGGGCCTCGGGGGCATCACTTCGCCTCTAGGTGCCTCACATGCCTCACCTATAAAAGGAGCCTGTCACCCACAGTCCCTCCCACGGATTCGGTAAGAATTACGGGGACGAAAGGGCCAACGCGCCCAGAGCGCCTAGAAGCGCGGTTCGGACGCAGGGCACTGCTGCTTTTGAGTCCGGCGCCGCCGCCGGGTCGGGTCCACCAATGCTTGGGTGACCCTCCTCCCCTGAAGCACCCGGAGTTGCCTGTGCCCAGGTCGGTGAACTCAGCTCGTCCCGAGAGAAATGGGAGGCCAGGACGGCTGCGACCTTGGGCGGCTGCATCCGGAGCCCCGCTTGCGCCGCGGCCTCTCACCAGTGTTCGGCACCTCTCGATACCAGGCGCGGTACAACTCGCGCACCCTCCGCTTGGCTTCGTTCATGTCCCGACTAAAAATGGGCTTCACTGAAGTGGGCACCGTAGCAGCAGCCCGCCGGAGGCCGCTCGCCGCCATCTTGCTAAAGAAACCACCTTCTGTGGGGGCGGCCGAAGGACTAAAGTCTTTTGTCATTGGCTAAAACTGAAAGCCACGCCCCCAAGCGCCACGGGTAGGCGGGAGGATAACTGTGGGACTCTCTGACTGGCTGGGAGGACGCTGGGGGATGCGCATGCCCAGACCCGGAGACCCCAGCTCAGCTGTTGGCGGTCCTAACGGTGGCCCAACCGCGCCGCCAGGAGACGCTCAAGCGCCAGGCTGGCCGCGGAGCTGCGGCCTTGGCGTCCCCCAGCGTCCCGCCGGCCACCAGCTCGCCGCGCTCCTTTGGTTGTGCCTGTGGACGCGCGGGTCTCGCAGAGCTTCGCGGATCGCTTTCCCCGGGCCGGGGCCACGGGTCCCCAGGGGCAGCGGAAGCCCCCCGCAGGGCGCCTGGGTTTCCTTGGCGCCGGCCTGGCCCCTGTGCGGTTTTTCTGCAGCATCATTCCCCCCCCCCCCCCCCCCCCCCCCCCAATAAACCAACTCTTCGGAAGCGCTGTGTAGCCGCCAAAGCGCTTTCCTGGCCGTTGCCCTCCTGGCGCTTCTCCACGTCCCGGCTAGGTAGGCTCTATCATCAGTCCCGTTTCAGACAAGAACCTTTTCATCCTAACCTGTGCATCTCCGTGAGAAGCGGCCCAGAAACATGGAGCCGGAGGCAGGCTTGCATCGACCGTCCTGGGTGTCCCCTCCGTTGTGGCATTTTTCTACTAAGGTTGTCATCTGGCCATCCCGGGAGGTCCGGAGGCGCTAAGGGAGAAATAACAGCTAACGCATGGCAGGCCTCACACTAGACCATTTTACCTGGTCTTCTTTAGTCTTCTTTAATCTCATGGATCAGAGAGCTTCTATTAGCACCCCAGGAAACAGGGGGTGTGGGGTCAAGGTCACGTGCACCTTGTGAGGGTGCTGGGGGAGGGGCAGGAGCAGGGGCTGATCTCAGCTCTGAGACCCCAGCCAGCACGGAATAGGGCCCTGCAACTATCCCAGGCTTTCCCGTTTTTGTTTTTTTTTGTTTTTTTTTTTTTGTTTTTTTTTAAGATTTTATTTATTTATTTGACAGAGAGATCACAGTAGACAGAGGCAGGCAGAGAGAGAGAGAGGGAAGCAGGCTCCCTGCTGAGCAGAGAGCCTGATGCGGGACTCGATCCCAGGACCCTGAGATCATGACCTGAGCCGAAGGCAGTGGCTTAACCCACTGAGCCACCCAGGCGCCCCAGGCTTTCCCGTTTTAAAGGGTAAAAGAAAATCCGATTTTTGTTCTTGTATTGCCTTTTAAAATGTATCTGCTTTTAAGTGAGTTACGCATTCAAAGGAAGCTTGCACCATATACGAGTTCAAAGCATGATAATAAAATGGAAACCTTGAAGCCTCAACCACAACCCCAAAAAGTGGTGATAGAGTTAAGGTTTATATAAGCAGACTGTGCTCCTGATAGCCACTGGTTTGAGTTCTCCAGGCACATTAACTTGTTCATGCATCACAACACACCTGTGGGATCAGCACCTTTAAACCCATTTTACAGATGAGAAAACAGACACAGAGAGAGGAAGTTACTGGACAGGGCTGGCTTGAGACCCAGGTAGCTGTCCCCGGAATCTGTGCTCTACCTCTCACAGCACCTACATCATCACATCTACCTGTCTAATTCTAACCCCATCCATGCTCCTGCCTCCTCCAGGAGTAACCACTATCATGAATGTAGCGTTTAATATTCCTTTTCATTGAAAAAAAAGCCACCGAAAACCCCACAAACTGGGAGAAGATATTTGCAAATCATTTATTCCATAATGTATTTGTATCTAGAATATATATAAGACTCTTACAGCTCAGTAATAAAAAGGCAAATAGCCCAATTTAAAAATAAGCAAAGATGGGGCTCTGGCTGGCTGAGTCAGTAGAGCATCTGACTCTTGATCTCAGGGTCATGAGTCCAAGTCCCATGTTGGGCATGAAGCCTAGTTTAAAAAAAAAAAAAAAAAGAGCCAAAGTGACAAACCCAATGGCAGGAACTCTGTCATTGCTGGTGAAAATAAAGAATCAGACAGCCACTTTGGAAGTCAGTTTCGCAGTTTCTTACAAAACTAAACATAGTCTTACCATGCGACCCAGCAATCGCACTCCTCGGTCTTCACCCGAATGAGCTGAAAACTTTTGTCCATCCAAAAATCTGCACAGGGATATTTATAACAGCTTCATTCATAGTTGCCAAAATTTGGAAGCATCCAAGATGTCCTTGGGGAGGTTAATGGATAGATGAACTTTTGTACATCCACACAATGGAATATTCTTCAGCATTAGGAAGAAATAAGCTATCGAGCCATGAAAAGACATGGAGAGGGGCACCTGGGTGGCACAGTGCGCTGGGCAGCGCACTCTTGGTTTCGGCTCCAATTTTGGTCTCGGTGTCCTGGGATGGAGCCCCGAGCTGGGCTCCCTGCTTAGTATGGAGTCTGCTCGAGACTCTCCCTCCTTCCCCCTACCCTCCCAATAAATAAATAAATAAATATATATATATTTTTTTAAGATTTTATTTATTTATTTGTCAGAGAGAGAGAGGGAGAGAGAGCGAGCACAGGCAGACAGAATGGCAGGCAGAGGCAGAGGGAGAAGCAGGCTCCCCGATGAGCAAGGAGCCCGACATGGGACTCGATCCCAGGACGCTGGGATCATGACCTGAGCCGAAGGCAGCTGCTCAACCAACTGAGCCACCCAGGCGTCCCAATAAATAAATATTTTTTAAAAAGACATGGAGGAAAGTTAAATGGATATTACTAAGTGAAAAAAGCCCACCTGAAAAGGCTGTATGCGGTATAATTCCAGCTCTATGGCGTAACAGTAAAAGACGAAATTGTGGAGACAATAAAAAGATCATTGGTTGTTATGGGCTGGGGGGAGGGAGCAAGGAATGGATAGGAGAGATTCTGTGTGATACTCTTTTTTTTTTTTTTTAAAGATTTTATTTATTTATTTGACAGAGAGAGATCACAAGTAGGCAGAGCAGCAGGCAGAGAGAGAGGGAGAAGCAGGCTCCCGGCTGATCAGAGAGTCCGATGTGGGGCTCGATCCCAGGACCCTGAGATCAGGACCTGAGCTGCAGGCAGAGGCTCAACCCACTGAGCCACCCAGGCGCCCCTCTGTGTGATACTCTGTGGTTGATAGCTGTCATTATACGTTTGTCCAAACCCATAGAGTGAACCCTGCTGTAAACTGTGAGCTTTGGATGACAGTGGTGTGTCCACGGAGGCTCATCAATTGTGACAAATGCATCACTGGTGGGATGGGGGGGGATGTTGATAATAGAGAGGGGGCTAGGGTTGGGGGGTAAGCATATAGGGGAAATCTCTGTACATTCCACTCAATTATGCTGTGAATCTAAAACTGCTCTAAAAAATAAAGTCTATTTTTTTTTTAAGTGGGCAAGGGATTTGAATAGCTATTTCTCCAAAAAAGGTACATAGTGACCAATAAACACATGAAGAGACACTCAACATGGTTAGTCATTAGGTAAATAATAAAATCAAAACCGTAACAAGACACCATTTCTTACCCATAGAATCCTAGAATAAAAAGATAATAGTCAGTGCTGGTGAGGATGTGGAGAAATTGGAACTCTCATACACGGCTGGTGGGAATGTAAAACGATGCAGCCACTTCAGAAAACAGCCTGGCAGTTTCTTAGAAACTCCAGTCCTGGGGCTCCGAGTGTCTCAGTGGGTTGAGCCTCTGCCTTCAGCTCAGGTCATGATCTCAGTCGGGGTCCTGGGATCGAGCCCCGAACCGGGCTCTCTGCTCATAAGGGAGCCTGCTTCTCCCTCTCTCCGCCTGCCTCTCTGCCTATTTGTGATCTCTCTCTCTCTGTCAAATAAATAAATAAAATCTTAAAACCAAAACAAAAACAAAAAACTCCAGTCCTAGGTATCTACCCAGAAGAAATGAAAACATTTGTCCATATGCAAATGTTCATACCAGCATTGTTCATAGTAACCAAAAAAGTAGAAACAACCCAAAAGTCCATCACCTGATGGAGTTAAAAAAAAAAAGTGGATAAAAATGTGGGATATCCATACAATGGAATACTCTTCAGCTATGGAGAACCTTGAAAACATTATGCTAAATGAAAAAAGCTAGAAACAAAACACATATTGTATGATTTCATTTATATGAAGGGTTCAGAAAAGGCAAACAGGTGAGCGGGCTGGGTGGGAATGCGGAGTGACGCATGAGGTTTCTGGGTTTCTGGGTTTATTTACTTAAAATAGCCAATACACAGTACATCTTTAATCTCAGATGTAGTGTTCAAGAATTTATCATTTGTGTTTCTGTTTAGGCAGCGGGAGATGCTCTGAAGTCTGTGGCGTAGTGTACACCTTTGTAAACAGACCAAAGTCCATTGAATTGCACACTTAAAATGAATGAAGGATAAATTTTATGTAAGTTACCTCTCCGTCAAGCTGTTGGGAAAGACGACCTCTGATGATTTTTCAAATGCGTGAGGTCCAGTGTATTTTAATAATGTCTTCTTGCTCTCATTGCCTTAAAAAAGAAAAAAAAAACCTATTTGTTAAGAACAACGATTTTAGAAAGTCGGCAAAGTATAGCACAGCACAGAAAATAAATATCCTCTATAGAATTAGAAGCAATGTAGTATACAGTGAAAAGAATTTATTGTCTGTTCCTGATACTAGTTATAAGCTGTATGTCAAGTTACCTTTTCCCCATGGTCTTTGGTTTCCACATCTGTAAAATGGGGATAACAGTGGCTACCACGCAGGGTTATGAGGATTAAATGAGATAAAGTATGTAACGTGAAATGCCTAGAAGATGTTTGGTGCACACGGATGTTTGCTAAGTGTCTGCTCATCAGATTGTGAGAATCCTGTTAACTTCCTTTAGCCTCAATCCCTGTAACATGTTACACAGAGCAGATCCTGGTGAAAAAGAGTGAAGCAGCAGTCTCGTGGGGGAGGGATGGGGTGTGCAGCACGTCCAGGGTGTTTT